CCTTTCCCATCTCATCCACCTCTAAGTGCCGGCCACACACTCAAGTCCCTTGCAGGCCCCAAATCCCAGGCTACCCTCACCTCTGAGCCTCTGCACTGCTGCGCCCTTTATTCTAAAAGTTCTTAAATTAAAATGATTTGTGAAGTTATGCGTGAGAGTATGTATCGCTGTATGTACGCAAGAAAGCACAGGCATAAAAACTTGCATGTGATTTTGACAGTATTTATAAGTTTCCTCAACACCAATTTCATGCCCCACGTTAACCCCTTCTTTAAGGTATAAGCAGGCTTATAGCTGATATCAAAAAGTTCTGAAATTTATCATTCAATGAATTTTTGCATACAAAAGCATATATGAATTATCAGTATCAATAACCAATATCAACTATATTATGAAACTGGACTGCTCTCCACTGCCCTTCTTCCCCCAAAAAAGTTAGTTCAATTATCAATTTCAAGTTGGTTTCCTTGAGAAGGGGTTACCCTAGTGGAAAACATCCCTTCACCGTTTGGAGAACAGCCAGTCCTTAGAATTTGAATACTTTTGCCTTATAAGAATGTCTGAGCATGTTGTTAAAAAAAAATTGGATGATATTAGATGAACAGCTGTGCAGAAAGGGGAATGTAAAAATAAAAACTGCATGTTGGAGCATCAAAATAGTAACCATGTACAGTATATGACTGTTTTTAATCAGATGAAGATTGAAGCTATTACATTTCAAATCAAATGTTATGAATTAGTTCAAGAATGCAGCTGAGCTCTCATTTAATTAGAAATGTCCATGTTTAAATCATGAGGTACAGTAGCTGCCAATGAAGCAAAAGGGCAGGGGAAGGGAGAGATCTTGTGTCCAGACCCTCCGATTGTTGACTGTCTCCTTTTGCAGGACGCACATCTGGGCAGACTCGTCCTGATGTAATGAAGAACTTCGTGTACTAGCTAATTTGAGATTTAATGTAATTGAACATGATTGTTTTGAAGACAATTAAAATCATTATTCTGCCCTGGACAACTATGAACTCTTCTTTTTCGTGTGAAACATATTTTCCCCCCATGTTAAATTTTAACTCTTTCATGGATAAAAAGTAAAGCACATTTCGGGCCAAGATTTCCCTGCGAAGCAATCCTTCGACTGTCGGTCATATTAAAGTGCAGTGCAACAGTGAGTTCTCCTTTAGAAACAAGTCTCATTTCCTATTCCTGGTGCCTGATGCAGCTCAGCCAGGGTCCAGACCTACATCCCAAATGTGAGACAATTCACTATTAAATAAAAATGAGGGACTTCTGAGGTCATACAGAGAAGAATGCAATTATCCGAAGGCGGCCTTTCCCCCACAGGTTATGAGCCTCTGTGTGCCGTAATTAACCGTGGCGCAGCTAGACAGTCCAGGCAAAGGGTCTTTCTTTTCTCCCAATTTGCCTAATTCCAAAACACCTCAAGTGACATAGCTCAAATTTTCCAAATTAAACTCACCCCTGGGGCTGAAATCAAGCATGTGACAGTTCAGTTCTAAAGAAAATCTTAAAGAGAGTCCTGCACAGGGAGAGAAAAAAGTCAGGGTAAAAGGGGGTAGGAGTTAACATTTAAGTGGTTTTCAACCTCATCATTACCCCTGCTCAAGAAAATAAGACACAGATGGGCAAAACACAGCATCGTCCTGCCCCAAAGAGTCTACGGAGCTCATTAGAAACTACTGTTGTTTCCTCGTGGTCCACCATGAATTCGGAAGGGACAAGTGATGGATGTGCTGCACCCCACAGCAGTTAGCGCTCCTGCGCCCCGGCGTGGACACTGGAAGGATGCCACAGAGACGCGAGGGGCCACTGCAACCCAGGAGAGCTTACTGTTCAGACACGTCCTCAAGGTAGACCCTTCCCGGGGAGCTGAGGAGCGATGACATTGTCAGGAGCTGCTCTGCTCTGTAAAAATGGTTTCCGTTAAGAAATAACACACAGCCCCAAGCTTTCTCTTACTTCTGGCCACAGCTCCACACTCTTCCACTCCCACGCCAGCGAGCGGGTAAATGGGGATCAGGTCCACGGCTCCCAAACAGGGGTGGATCCCCTCTTGAGCCTCCATGTCAATAGACCGGAAGGCCTCCACGCAGGCAGCCAGGACAGCATGGTCTTAAAAGGTAAAATTGTACAAAACAATCATTAAACTTTCAAACACAGTAAAGAAGCAGCTATACTTTATTGTCCCACTAGTTGTTGTTTTGTGGGTTTTTTTGTAATCTGTATAGATGATTTTCACCCAAAATAAAGTAAAAGATCCAACATTTCCCCTTGCCCTACCTCCCAATCATCATAAAAGTTCACATTTCTTCACATTTATTCCCCAAAGTAGAGGAGTTATGCAATGGTTATGATTCTTAAACACCTGTGTGAGTGTGTGTGTGTTTTATTGATTTCAGAGAGGAAGGGAGAGGGGGAGATAGAAACATCAATGATAAGAGAGAATCATTGATTAGCTGCCGCCTACATGCCCCCTACTGGGGATCAAGCCCGCAACCTGGGCATGTGCCCTTGGCCAGAATCAAACTTGGGAACCTTCAATTCGCAGGCCAATGCTCTATCCACTGAGCCAAACCAGCTAGGGCACCTCTGTGTTTTTTTACAACTGGTTACTTTAAATGTTTTCACCTTTATCAAATTAATCTGATAAAACTTTGTATTTTCAGAATGCTTTATTAATTTTTATTAAAATATATACACAAAGTTTTAAAAGCTTAACTATTTTAGTTTTCCTCTTCTCTTCTAATTAGATTTTGCATTCAAAAGATTTTGCATTCAAAGATTTTATTTCATCTAACTACATATGATAGATACCTAAGAGTTATGCTATTACTCTGAGTTTTCATTAGCAGTACAGAATGACCATTTCAACAAGAAAGATAAACAACAAAGAAGCAAATTTAACATCTTATGATTAACATTCAAGATAATTTGTCCTGTTTGCTGGGAGCTACCAGCCAGCGCTTAGTTCTTCAAACAAACATACCTTATGAAAAAAGACAATCTGAGTTGAAATAAAGTCTATTTAAAAATATTTTGAGCCCTTTGTAAGCAATATTAAGATAATACAAGTTTATGTTCAAACAGTTATGATCCTTCAAATTCAACTTGTCCCACTAAAACTTATAACATGAGACATTTCATTTCAATCCGTGAACCAACTCAAGATTTCAGGCTCCCAACCCAAAACACAACTGCTTAGCATGTTTCATTCTATGCCAACTTATCACTGAAATCAAGGCTGACTTCAACACTATGACTCCATAGGTTAAAACTTGAAGATTGTTTTTCTTATCCATAAATGATACGTGACCATCTTCAGGGGGGAAAAGGTATTATTCTTGGACCCAAGATTCATTGTAACGAAGAGGAAATGGGAAATGTTTGAGGTGTGTATGTTCAGAAAAATGATGAAATACATTTTTGAGGTAGACTCTCCAGGTAATGGACTATTCCTACGGACAGGAAATCAATGAGTAAAGAGCATGCAGGCCTACCTGAAGCTACCCTTCATCACAGATATATATATATACACACACACACACATATATATATGTGTATATATGTATATATATATATATATATTATGACCAGTTGACCAGTCGCTATGATGCACACTGACCACCAGGGTGCAGACCCTCAACAATATGAAGAAAGAAACTGCGGTCTCACTTAATTCATCAACAGAAGCTGCTATGGTAATGACTGATCTGTTGTAGTCTTGATCAGAAAATATATTGAGCACTGATACTTCAGGACGTTTCTTCCCTGTAAAGGAAAAAAAATATAAAGGCAAGAATTACTTTTCTCTGCTGAAGCCTTAATACTTTACTTCTTCTGATACAATTATATTTGTTCAACAGAGAAATTTCGGGATTGTGACCTTCGAGGTGACACTGGCTAATCATGACATTCCTGGCTAGTAACGCCCACTCCTTACGGCGTCTTCCTATCTAGCTGGACGGCTCAGCTCAGACACTAGCTAGGCTTTGGTGTCTCTCCACTCAAAGATGGCAGCCTCTTCTTTCAATTGCCATGCTGTGTCACTCCAAATCCCGTTCCTTCTCAGTCAAGTCTTTCAGGCCTTATCAATTTTTCCTTCTTAAACCCAGAAATCAACCTGTCTGGATAAAAATCTGCCATCTGGAGAAACTAGGATGGCCAATTAGTGCCTGAAGCAGAGGTTTCTGGGATGCATACACCTGCCTGTTGGAGACGCTCCGACCCCAACACCTCCCCTGAGGCCACCCACAGCCCTCAGATGTTAATGGTTTCCAGCCTCCTGTGGCCTGTGACTTGGTGACCACGTAACCCGGAGGAGAAAGCTGCCCTGCCCTGCCCAGCATGGCAGCCACACATAACCCCACATTATTTCTGAAGTTTACAAGCCTGGTCCAGGCCCCTTAAAAGTCCCCCTCAAGCCTGCAAAAGCAAATTCAAAGAGAAGGACAAAAGTTTTCAGGCGGTAATTAGATCGTTCGCCATGCCATTATACCTTTGTCGTCCCTCCCCCATCCCCCACGCCACCCCCAATCCCCTGGCAGCTTAACAATTAATCTTTTCAGAAGAGAGGAAAAATAAGTTGCAAGCAGGCACGACAGAGCTTATAGTAGCCCATGCCATTAACTTTAATAACTTTAAAAGATAAACTTACAGTATGTCACTTGCTCTTAGCCAAATGAACATCGATACAGCCCTGCCCTGGTATAGGTCTAAAGTTTATAACTCAAGTTTCTTTACCTTAGACCTTTTAGGCCATTTAAATGTGTTAACATTACTTAGTTAGGAAAATTATAGGTGTTACGGTTTATTCCACTTGCTGAAAAATAAATGCCTTTAAAGTATTTGTAAAACAATAGGTCATTTTCTTAGCTAGTGCTACTTCCTTGCATTTTCATAACTATAAAAGATGAAGCAAGAACCAGACCATACAATCTCCTTTTTACTGTGATTTTATTTTTCCATCCTAAATCTTCTTCTGAAAAGCTTTTATTCTCAGTTTCATCTGACTCAATTGAATCAAATGCTGAGAGAATGAAACACTTTCTCCTGCAATCTCTCCAGCATGCATATAGAAAAAATGACTGCTGGCAGGAGGAGATGTCGGGCCGCCTCTCAGCAGAAGTAAATTGTTTGGTGTCTGTAATGGAGTATAATAGCTATAATTCCATTTGAGCTGCTGCCACTAATAAGCTGATGAAAACTGTGAGTGAGACAAGGCATCCATCAGTGTGTGGCTTCCCCAAATGTCTCTGCACATTCATTTAATCACAGAGACAGGTAACCCGATCCCATTAGATGTACTTGTCTGACAATGAGGGGCCGAGCGGGTTATTCCCTTCCCACAAAGAGAATGCAAGAGCACAGCTGGCTGACTCCAGAGGTTTCTTTCTTATCAGCAATTATCAGGAATTTTCGTAGACATTTCCAGCTCCCGTACAGTTGCAAGACAGTAATTTAAATGCGCTCATCGCTAGAAATGGGCTGAAGGAAACACTTGTTTCTTGTGCAAAGCAGGAACAAAACGAAAAATGACCATCAGAAATGACAATACACTGTCTGAAATGCTTCAGGGCTAGGGGCCTAATGCTCGCCTGTTGCCAAAAAAACTTCATTTAATAACGAAGTTTTCTATTTGAACAACTGTGTGTACACTCACTGTGTTGTCTGTGTGCATGTGTGCGTGTGCATGTATGTGTGTGTAAAAACAAATGATGCCTAGAACTATGTCATCACATGAACATTTCAACAAGAGTAAAAAATAAAAAATAAAAATTAAAAAGGAGAGTAGTATCTCTCATCGTAAACACTGGCCCAGGGAGCAAGGAGGCTTGGGCTCCAGTCTCCTGAATCGCTAAGTGATCTTACGCACATCACTTAAATGCAATTGCCTAAAAGCCTTTCTTTATAGGGAAAATATGTAATAGAAATAATAGTGCTGTAATGATAGCAAGGGCTTTGCTGGCAGGAGTGCTTTGAAAAGTGGTTGGTATTTGGCAAGTTTATTTTTTATGTAACCTGCTGAATAAAAAGCAAAATGCCCAATTATGCTCATTCTATTAATGACCAAATAAATGGCCTGTGAGGGGACATTTAACCTTTATGTAACTATATCCTCCTCTCACTCTCCACTATCCCTAACTGCACGGCTGAGTGCAGGCAGGCGTCTGAAAAAGACCACATGTGAACATCTGCCTAACTGCTCTACCTCAGTATCCTGGAGGCCTGCTACAGCCCAGGAAAGAGGCGGTGGTGGTGGGGGGGGAGCCCACAAAGAAAGAAGAGTGTTCTATAGATGCTGTCTGCAGAGCACAAAAATTACCGTATCATCCAAACACTGCATATCCACTTCAATTTTCTGTTGTTCCTACCATTTTCCCCAAGAAGAGCTGCTTTTGCGATGTTCTCAACGACGTGCTTCCTCCTGGCTTCTGAGATGTTTAGTAAACAGGCAGCCAAACGGAGCCCCAATCTGGAGGAAGGCATGCTGGTTTTTCCTAGAATGCGAGAAAAAGGAGTCTTCATTTCCGCCTCTACAGTTCATTAAACAATGTTCATGTTTATTAACCATTAAAAAAATCATAGCTCTTTGGAAACCAGTTAGTCATAATATTAACACGTCACTCTCTCACTCCTCAGGGAACACCTGAGTAAGAAAACCCTCAGGGAGACTCCTCAAGAGACTGTGTATGTGGCCACGCAGAGATGAACACAGCAGCCACACTAGAATACTAGCATATCCTTCAAGTTATCCAGCCTGAATTCTGTCGTGCGAGTGAAACTTCCATTAAAGTATATTACTCCCTTTCCAGCACAGTCTTCCTCAGCTTTTCCCTGTTTTCGGGGTCTTCTCTGTGTAACCAGTAAGCGTGATCCTGTGGTTAAATGAGACTTACCAAAAAAAGGAGGAATGAAGGAGGTTATTTAATATGCTGATTCCTACAAAAACGATTCCTCTAGCAAAAAGAAATACAGGGGCTCACTTAGGGGCTTTACATGACAACTATCTATGTTCCTCTGGCACTTGGATCTCCAAAGTTTCTAAATCAGTTGCAAACCTTTTCACAGGACTCTGGACCTTGAACTGTGAAAGCTGACATGTACTCTGGTATGTCACTCAGTGACGCCGAGAAAGTGACTGATTCTTTCACTGAAAATGGGTTAATTTCACACCTTTTAGAAGTTGCTTTGATGCTCTTTAGTGCTCCAGAAAGGCATTTTTCAACCCATTATCTTTCCATACCTCAGATGATATGACGTGAGGAAATTTCAATAACTCAGAATAGTAAACCCCCCTCCCCCTTTTTGAGACCAGGCCATCCTATTCTGGCCTTTTAACATATCATATCGAAAAATGAATGCAGCCCTCATGACCTCAGGCAACAACGACTTGACAAAGGTCACCTGGTGTCAGGCAATGGTCTCCGTGTGGGGGATACTTCAGGAAATGGTGGTCTCCTCTGAGACAAACATTAAGCTTAGGAGTTTAAGCTAAAAGTGCTGGGTGCCAATTAGTGCTCTCCACGCGTAAATCCAACTGGCGTCCCGGACACTCGGACTGGTAGCCTAATCATCCTAGTCTAAAGGAAGTGCAGAGCTCATGGACAGTTCAGGTTTTTTATAGTGACCATCATCGCATCGAAAATTCATAAAAAATACGGTCATTCGGTTCTTCTAGAGTAGACATTAATAGCATCGCTGTATTAAAGCAGCTCAGACCTCTGGTTCTCATGTAAACAAAAAATTGCTTTACACAAGGGGCGTGGGCGTCTTCTGGCTTTCATTTGTTTTCGGTGTGTTTATGTAGCTTAATTGTCTCATCAGGCACTTTCCCAACCTAATTATGCTTCTTAACAAATGGTGTTTATGGCAACCCCTAACAGTGCAAGGGAAAGGATTAGTTTCATCTTCTCATTCCACATTGGATTCCCTGTGGACAGCTAAATCACACAAAGATGGTCTGGGAAAACCTACCTTCCCAGCACCCGCTGGAATGAGCGGCTGCACCAGGCTTTTGGAGAGCGGTCAGGCTTGTTAGTCAAGGGTAAGCACTGCTCCCTCCTCCTCTAACCAGGGACCCAGAGCGCGCCCTCCCCGCACTCGGGAGAGGGGAGCCCAGACCGCCCACCCTTTCAATCCCCAAGCGGTTCGGTGACGCCCGGCGACAGACCGGACCCTGGCTCGCCCGGAGGTGCTGGCAGTGCGGGCCAGGCGGCAGCGGGTGCTGGGGATGGAACTGTGGCTGGGACCCCCGCGCGGCCCCGCCCCGGGTCCTGCGTGGAGCGTCCCAGGGCCACGCGGGCCCGAGAGTAACCCAGGGGCTCGGCAAGACTCCCGGCCGCCCGAGCCCGGTCTGTGGTCTGCGAGCGGCCCAACCAGGGCCCGGCTCGAACCCGAGGCCGCGAAGCCGCCCTGCGGTTTTGGAGGGAACCGACCTGCGCGCGGAGGGTAGGGCGGCACGGAGCCTTAATCCCCGCAGTCGCTACGCGTGGCCGCTGCTTCCGCCGCCAGCCCCGCCTCCCGCCCCGGCGCGCTCCTGCCTGCGTTCCCTCCAGGGCCGTGACCGTGACCCTGGCCCGGCCTCGCCCGCGCGCCCGCGGCCGGAGAGCTGGACGTCCCTGTTGGCACTGCCCGCCGGCCGCTCCCGCTCCCGCTCCGTGGGGAGTCTGCACAGTTCCCTCCGGGAAATGACTGCCTTGCTAGGAGGGCCGCGGGATCCAAAGGCGAGGCCATTCCCCTGTACCAGGCACCTGGGGGGCTCTCCCCGGGGCGGGCGCACAAGCACCCCCGGTCCCGTTCCCCTGCCGCGCGCACCCCTGAGCGGGAACGGACCGCCCTGGGACCAAGCAGTGCTTGCACCTGACCGGTTAGCCCAAGTTTCAACCACTGTGAACCCAGCACTGGGCATTCCCTTTTTTCTAGGCCAGTGAACTTGGGAGAACACATTTCTCTTCCAAAAATTCAGGACCTGTGTGTGTGTGTGTGTGTGTGTGTGTGTGTGTGTGTGTTTAATGCAGCAACCATTAAATGTCACCATTTTGATCCAATTTCGTTTCTAAACTGCAATAATCACTAAATAACTACTTTGACAGAATAAGTTAATTTTTAAATCTATTTTTTATTTTCTAATTATACTTTTTAAATACAGATTTGAGGAAATTAACATTTATGTGGACATTTGGTTTCTAGCCTAATGTGGCATAAAAATAAGTAACATAATGAGTGCTAAAAAAAATCAGGTTCACGATGCTTCTCACATCATCATCATTGTACTTAGATGTCACAACAGTATTATGTGCGATTGTGTCAGATCCTGCCTTCCCCATCTCGGAGTGTTGGCAGGTAGGAGGGTTGTTGGCAAGAGGCGGGGTGTTAACCTCAGGATCCTGGATCCATTCCAAGGCTGGTAATTACATTCTGCCAGCCAAAATTCATCCCATAATTTTAATTGGATAAATCCTTTCTGGCCTAAGCTACTGCTATGCCTGTCAAACTGTTGCCACATTTCACCCCAGAGGTGTCTGTGTTTTAGTAGCAAGAATCAGTCCCTTTGAGGTTGGCTTATCAGTTTAAATCCTCAAGTGCTTTGGGATCCTATGGAATTAAGTATATATTTAAGCATTTTCCCTACTGAATCTGCATAGACATGTATAAAATACACATATAGTCGTGTTAATACCTAAAAACCAATACCCATCTAATGTCAGCAGATAATTTTGAGAGCTTTTTAATCAGATCCATGTCCCTAACTTTCTCTTCTTTCCTTTTCAGAGCTTTTATTACCTAGAGCTTTAGCTTCCAATTTCCAAAAAGTGTCCAAAGTTGACTTCCATGGAGGCCGGCGGAACGGCAGCCTGTGTACTTCGTGTTTGCAGACAATCCTATGATGAGACTACTTGCTAAGATGAAAGACAGAGCAGTCCCATTATATCTGGTCTTCGTGTATGCCCCAGAGGAAGGTGTGACCACTGGGGCCTCATGGTTCTGGCTGTAGAGAATGCCGGAAGTCAGGCCTCTCCCCACTTCTAATCCTGTGGGTCTCTCTCCCTCCAGGGCTCCCGGGCATGAGTAAGCGCGAACACCCGGGAGTTAGTCAACCTCAGACCCTTTCCCCACTCTGCTCCCATCAAACACAAATGGAGCCCCAGTGCCGGAGCAGAGCTGGGACTAGGGTGAGGGAGTGAGGGAGATACATTTTGGGAGCCAAATTTAAGTGGGGGCCAAAAAACTCAGTAATGCAATACCTTAAAAACCAACATGAATGCAAAGTTAGAAATCCACAGTGAACACAATAGCAGAATTTTAAATAAAGACTGGCTCATACCCTGCAGTTGCCAACTTCGTCTCCTCGCCTCACCCCGATCCCTGCCCAGTGGTTGCGGTCCCCTTTGTGCCAGCCCGTTTCTGATTGTAGGGTTGAGAGGACACTGCGCCGCTCGGCTCTGCCTGCATCCTATCTTCGGGCCCCCAAATGGGCAACAAAACCAGAAATGTCAAGGGTGGAAATTTCCAGGCCAGTGGATACATATAATTTATAGTTTGTTCAAGGAGTTCCATATATATTCAAATTGGTCAACTTATCTTACAAGAAGGCAAACCCTTATTAAAATGAGCAAAATAACTCTACTCAGCTAATACATTTCATTACCTATTTACCTGAAACAATTCAGAATATGGGTACAGTGTGGGTGCCTTTATTCTTGGCCATAGGCACTGAATGAATGAGGGGTCGCCAAGAGCCCCTCTCCAAAGCTGGGCTTTTTATAGCTATTAACCATATTTTAGATGAAAAGCAATTCCTAAAACTAACTTAGAATCTTTGCTGAAAATTTAACTTATAGGACTACATTAAGATAATTTCTAAAACTATTGCAAGTCACAAAATCTATCTTATGTCCAGAAAATTGCTGGGAATGTTTAGAAACATTTTCCCCTTAGGAACATAAATTTCCATTGGCTCATGAGGCTTTTATCAATAAATATTTACTTGAAAGATTGTAACCAGTGGATAAGAACTGCCAAATTGCAGGAAGAACAAGGGCAGGTATTGTGACGGTGCACACGTAGGCACTTCTGGACTGTTTTTACTTCATGTCCTATTACATGCAAGTGACTGTCAGCTCTTAATTGACAGGGAGAGGGTCACCTCTTGTATGAACAGGAGTCGGAGACCCTGAAGGAAGCGCCCTGTGGCTGCACGGCCTCAGTCACTGTGTTCCCAGCCGTCCTGGCCTTGAACAGCCCCCTCCCTTCTCAAGAACGACTTCTGCTCTTGGGCGGCTCTCCAAGCTCGGTCTCTGCAGGACATTCAAATGGAAGGTTTGAGTGAAGGTTTTCCTGTTGGTTTGTTTGTCTTTTACTAACTATCTCAGGGTTTGAAGGGATTTAACTTTTTACATTTATTTTAATGACACTTAAATAGAAAATGTCTAATTTCTTAGGAAGAGGTGGGCAAGTTTAATTTTGGGGTGCTGTTGTTTTTAACGTTTTCTTTACCCTACTTTGTGCCTCAGTTATTATGCCATCTTTTTAGCTTGAAGTTCTGCGTTTTTGGAAATAATCTGAAAGTAAACATGTATAGAAGCTCAGCTCAGAAGGGATCTTAGAGATCATCTGGTGCCTCCTTGGGTCCTTTGCTCATGTGTGACCTGGAGCAGACTAGCTAGGGGTGGAGGCAGAGCTTGGGAGAAAGCAGGGTAGAGGCGGGCGGTGGTGGTGGCTGAGTCCCGCATCCTACACTTAACCCCACCCGCTACTGCTTCTTCTGTGGCCCCTCTGGGAACCCTAAGGTGCCTTTGCAAACCACTGACTAGTTCAACCCCTCTTCTGGTGCCTGTTACCCTTTTTATAACATCGTGCAAGGTTATCATCTTTTGAAGATGAAGTCTCTATCTTGACACGAGTCCATGATGCTGTTTCAAAATGCAAGCACTGTGGGAAATCCACACTACTTTTCAATTGCTGGGTGGGTTTTGACGATCATTTTTGTGAAGGAAAGTAAGCGTGGATGGGTATTCATATCTGAAAGAATCCGTCCAAGGCTTTAATTAATACCTGAAAGAATATGGTGCATAAGCAGAAGGATAACGATTTGGGAGAAGGAGAAACAAGGATTCAAACAGATGCAATCAAATAGAGCAGACAGGTAGTCAGACAACAGGCAAGGATGAAAGTGGTCAGTTAATGCCACTATCCAGTTCAGGAGACTGTAATACTGCCTGCCCTTCTCAGTGCCTCTGTCACTTTTAACATCAGTATTTTCATTTCTCTATTCGGGGCAAGAGGATGGCCATTTTCCTCAAAGGAGATTTCTGTGTTTTAATTTAGATATGGAGCCCATTTTTCTTTTCTGCAACCCCCAGCCCACATCTATTTTTTTTTTTTTTAATCTTAGACCATTTTATCTCTGGGCTCAAATTCTGAATGACAACTGAACTGGTTTATAGCAGTGGTTTCAGTTACCTATATTTTAAAGCTGAATTTAAATTATAAGTATAAACATACTAAATGAAAAATATATATAAGAATATATTTTATAAATCACAATCAAATTATATCAAATATTCACTTGATAGTTACTAATTTTACTCAAGTAAAATCCAAACAGTTGTTAATTATGGGGTTTTCTTCATTTATTAATGTAAAACATAAACTACTTCATTGTTTTATTTCCCTGAAATCTAATATTTTTAAAGTAATTATTCAAATGATAAAACATATGTTAAACTACTTAGATCATCAGAAAGGTATTGATCAAAGTACATATAGTAGAGAAGGTTGAGAAAAAAATTCAAAAATTGATCCTGGGTGTAAACTAAAGTACTTATTGACATAGGAATAAGCCAATAGGAAGACTGTATATTCTGCAGAATAATTTGATCTTTTTAAGTATTTCCAGCCTTAGAAGGAACACCAAGTATATTAACAGGGATATATTACATTTGATTCATTATAATGAAAGTAAATACCTGGGACAACACATTTTTTGTGTATAAAAACATGTTTTCTTTATCGATATTATGATCTTTATTGATAGTTGTAATATAAATTTAAGAATATACAGTATCTAATATTTCTAATAGGTTGATTTTATAGTTTTAAAGGTCTTAAAAGGAAACCTGAAAGTATCTCACCAAATTCTTTAATGGTGTGAAACTCAGGCCTCAAGAGGTTAAGTGAGTGTCACATGGCTAACATCTTCTATTTTTAATTTTAAATGCCTGGAGAATGAAGTCCAAGGCCCTAACCATGGGTGGTGGCCCCATCCTACTTTTTAAAGATTTTCTCTTTTTCTTTTCCCACCCTTCCTCCTCACTCTGATCTCATACCAAAACAGTACACTGCTCACCAAACACACTTTGGACTACTCTGTCGCTGGCTCTGTTTGTGCTTTGCTCAAGATTTCATTCTATGACCACCCTCCACCCACCCACCTGATAAATACCCCCACCTCTATGAAGCCTTCCTGAATTCTGTCACATTCTCCAGAATTCAGCACACCCGTTGTGTGTTCTCGTAACATCTCACACTTACCACTGAAACACTGAGCACATTTGATGGCAATATCCTATATAATAAAAGCCTAATACATAAATAGACCAAACGGTGGAATGATCGGTTGCTATGATGGGTGCTGACCAACAGGGGGCAGACGCTCAACACAGGAGCTGCCCCCAGCCTGCAGGTCCCAGGCCGACCAAGGCGGGTGCCAGTGGGGCC